GTGAATTGAATACATTGAATTCACATTGATAACTTTAAATTCCAATGCAATACAACAGGGTTTATTCTAGTTTTCTTGCTTAACATATAGCTGATTGGCTCCTCCAGCAATAGGAAACCTGACTCCTATTATTTTTATTTATTTATTTATTTTTTAAAATTTTCCCCCATTTTTTTTTATTGATTATGGTATCATATAATTATTCTCATCCCCCCAATCCCATCCCAAGCCCTTCCCTACATATGCCCTCACGCCCCCCCCCCCCCGCTTGTTGTCCATGGCCACTGGCCAGGCCCATGTACTTATTTCATTCTCTCTTCCCACCACCAATCTCTCTCTGCCATCTCCATTGCTGTACGCACAGGATACCTTCATGACTCTGCCTTGTTCTGACACCCTACATCAGGCCACACCCCAATTACAGAAACCCTTCTCAACCCCTGCCTGGTCCCAGCACTCCACACTGGCTGGCTGCCTCAGTGCTGGGATTCCCTCTTCACTCTGCCTGTGCTCTGATGCCCTGTGTTAGGTTTCCACTTCTACCTTCTCATACAATTCTCACCTCCCATTGCTAAGCATACTCTGTGCCTCTGACACTTGTGCCAGGCCACTTTCCTCCCATGGGGGATGCCCTTCTCACCCACGCGTGACTCTGACAACCCACTCTGGACCACTTCAGACTCTACTCCCCCTCCCAAACCACCTGCTGGCATAGATGCTCAACTGCTTGGCTCCACCTAATGGCTGTTCAAGAACTGAAAGAAAAAGGCTAGAAAGGAGGAGGGAAGGACAGAAAAAAGAGAAAGGAAAGGAAAAAGAAAGACATATTGTAGGGAATGGCTATAGGGTTAAGCCTGGGACTGACCTGTTGGCAAAGCCATAAATAAGTCCCAGCTTAGAGAGCACAGCCCTCTCAGCATAATTACGTTTGACCTTATGACACTCCCTAGATCCTTCCTGGGTAGCTAATGGGCTGTGGGAGGTGCAGCAAGTGCTGCCAAAACAAGTGAAACTCACAAGAACATTGTAACTATGGTGACCACTACCTTGTTTATTTCTGACTATAAAATAAAGCATCAGCTTGCCTTCTAGATATTTCTCTTTGGCTTTAGTCAGGAACAGAGATCCACCTAGACCCAGATTATTCTCTTTGTCTTTTCTACATCCTTCGCTGCCATCCCTCAGGCTCGCCGAACCATTGGCTGTGCTGGCACAGCACAAGTATAATATGAGGAAGAAGTTATATTTTGTTATATTTTATTTAATAGGAATAAAGAAATAATCAATAAAAGTTATTACATTTTAACAATGGAGAGGCCGGGTTTCTCTACTGAGTTAGGCCACGTGGAATAGTCCTTCATCATATATCTATGGACAGAGATATAGACATAGATGTAGACAAACATATGCACATATACACACAATAAGAAGACTGAATTAAGCAGGTGTAAGGTCAGCAGCCAGCACTCTTTTTTTTTTTTTTTTTTTTTTTTTTTTAGCACACAGTAGGATTACATTTCATTTGCCTCCACTCTGCTTGAAGTTAGGTCTAACGTCAAGTTATAATTGTATAATTTCCAATGAAATGTTGGTGGAAATGATATAAAGCACTTCTAGAGGGAATAATTTAATGTGGATGCTGTAAGTTAGCAGACAGACTCCTCAATTACCTTCTTCCATTGACATGGAGATTATGAAGTAGTTCTTTATAAGGAGGTGCAATGCTGAGACATTTTATGGCTTTGTAGAGTTAACCAACACAGTAGCAAAATTTCTACAAGGCAGAAATAATTTTTTTTAAAGTTATGAAACTTCTGAGCTGTCTGTTACTGCAGCAAAATTTAGTCCTTATGAGGTTATATAATCTTCATATGATGTTTAAGGTAAATTTATGACTGAAATAAAAGTATAGGTTTCTGTATTTATTTTGTAAAGTCGAGATAAATACTTTGTTCATGAATTTGTCCAAGAGTTATTTCACCAGAAATGTCTATAATTCATGTCTAAAAGCTCTATATGTAATTTTACTAATGTGATCACAGTAATTTCCTGATTCACAGAAAATTAGAGACATCTGTGACACATACAAAACACTAATTCTTGTGGAATAACACAAAGACCTCCTACTTTTATTTAGAATTATGAAGGGTTATCTAGTTTCAGGAAAATATTTTAAAGTTCCTAGAAATCTAGTTCCTAAGTACTTTAAAAAAATCTCAGAATGATAAAATGCCTGCTTTGAGGAAGATAAAATATGTGTAAGAGTCCAGCAAATAATAAATATTAAATTAATATTTTCTGAAGATTAGAATCTTCATTAAATGTTTCATGTAATTACACCAGGTTTTATAAGTGTTATTACCAGAAACAAATAGCAGTAGACTCCCCATTGATGTGGCTTTTCTGTGGTTATGTTTTGAATTTATGCCTTTATGATTTACTACATAAACACCTATGATTTTCCAGCACAGCTTGCTTAGGATGTAGCTACTAGACTTAATTAAAAATTATGGAAGTCTCACCCTTTCACACTAAGTGGATGATACATATCTAAGAGCAATCATAAATTTCTGCCTTTAAAGCATTTCATGACCTTTCAGTGTGAAGCATCATGTCTACAGAAATAATGATCTGGTGAGTTCTGCTAGCACGGCAAAATCTTCATCATGTGACTCATGGGGCAAAAAGTCACTCATTACTAGTCACACAGCAAGTGTCTGCAGAGTATAATGGATTTATAGGAAGCAGGGTGACCACAGATTTAATTTTAATGAAGTTCAGGACATAATCTGAGCTGATAGAGTTTGAAGTCTGAAAGTAACCTATACAAGGTTAGAGTTATTGTTTGACAACACAGATAATATAATTTTCTCTCTAAAAGGGGCTACTTTTCTAATAGGTTCCACTCATACACCTTTTTTTGTGTGTGTAGCAAAAAGATACATTTATTTTATACAGGAATAAAATATGAGACACTACAGAAAATTGGAAATTTTCCTATATATTGACTTTTTAAAAATATATTTTTTTTCTCTCATGATTTAAGCCAAAGAAGTTATATTTTTTGTACAGATGTTACATATACAGATAGCAAGTTGGACCAAATAAGAATACTCTCGGGTTTTTATCACTGTTTCATAAACAGAAAAATATAATAGGTAACCTGAAACCTCATCCAAAATTAAGTATTTCAGAGTATACATAGAGAAACACATGCTTACTACAAATAGAAATCATCATTTGTTCTATGAATGAGAAGAGCCATTCAGCTTAATCACATTTAAATAACATATACCTACATAATCCTAAGACAGAACATGCCTTAATGTGACTGAAGTTGATTTACTTCTGTGTTTTCCTTACTCATGTGTTCTTTTCCAGAATGACAAGAATAAGCATGACACTGTATTACCAAGACACACAGATGCCAAATTAGCATTTGGATATAAGTCTGAGAGACAATTACTAAGAGCCTTCTATTTCCTGACAATGAAGTAAACACAAGCGAGGTATGAATATATGACAAAACATGCTTTATGCACCCAGTAGGATGAAGTGATCAAAGAGCAACATATTTTTTAAATGAGCACAATCTACATATGAGACTGTGGATCTCAGAGCCCCTGGTCAGAAAACTGAATGGTTGAAAATTCATGTAATCAGTTAAGCATCAGCCATGCTGATGTTTATTTTTAAATTAAGTTTATTATTGAATATATTTGCCTATTTATAAGGTGGAGTGTGATTTCAAAGAGAAAAACTGACTGGTAAAAGAGAGAAAACCCAATGAAACCTGACATCTGGAATTGTAGGAGCCATTTTTAGACCTTTTCACAAGTTTAATGCTTTGAACTGGAAAGAATTTGAATTATTAGGTAGGAAAAAAGGCAGAGTGAGCTCATGTTTAAAAGTCTTTCTTCTTTTATTAAAGACTAGAGGCCCGGTACATGAAATTCATGCATGAGGGGGAATCCCTCAGCCCCGCCTGCACCCTCTCTAATCTGGAACCCCTCAAGGCATGTCTGACTGCTCTTCCCTGCCGGCCTGATTGCCCCTAACCGCTCTCCCCTTATTGCCCCTAACTGCCTCTGCTTTGGCCCCCACCACCATGTGTCAAGAAGGATGTCCGGAAGATATCTAGTCTATCCAGTCTGTTAGCATATTATCCTTTTATTAGTATAGATTTTCTTTTAAGATTAATTTTGGGGAACAGAAACAAAAGGAGTTTTAGGGATAAAATAGGCAGTTTTAGGGATTTTTCTGAATGAAGAGGGTCCAGGGGGGAGGAAGGCATAGATGAGGGGTTGGAGCCACCAGAAGGCATACATTCACAGCAGGGGGGAAAAATGGGGGGTGCCACAGGATAAGGGGAGAGGAAGACTTCCATTCACAGAAGATAAGAAAAAGCCACAGGGTATGGGGGAAAAAGGAAACAAACTTTCCCAGAGAATAGAGAAATGCTGACAAATGGGAGAAAGGAAAACAGATTTTCACAGAAGACAGAGAATTTTATTATACTACTGAAGCAAGAGAAAATAGGAGGACAACATGTAGGATTTGGGCTTTGAAGCTGATATTCTGCAAAAGAGTGACCAATGAGAAGGGAGTGTCAAGAGATAACTACAGCCTTTATAAACATTAGCAACAAAGAACTTAGTGGGTTACCCTCTTGGGACCCCCTCCCTACCAGGGAGTCTGTATTTGCTTTCAATAAATTTCTACCCTTCTCATCTATTGATACCATCTCTTATCTGGGGCTTCATTCTTCAAATCCGTCTGGACAAGGACCCAGAAAAGAAATCACCCTTTCATCCTGCTCAGGAAAACAACCCAAAAGAGAAGCAAGATGTCAGGTACGTTAACACATATAAAATCTCCTTGGATTGCTGGATTTTTGGAAGTTGATTTTTCTATAGAATCATCTTACCCAGGCAAGACAAAGAAAATGCATGCCAACTTCTGAAAGGAACCCAGGTGCCTTCTGAAGCTGGTAACCTTACCTTCTTCGCCCGCATAAGCCAGAATGGACCGAGATCGTATCTGTTTCCCTTCTGTGGTTTTCCCTGAGCAGGTGTGTGAGCAGGAAGACCAGGAAGACCACATGGTGAGCACACAGTCCCTTGGGCACGGGGCATAACAGGCGACAGGGATGGGGAAGATAGCATCTCTGCACAGCTGTCTGTCAACTTCTTCTCCTGGGAAAGACATCATCATCGTCAACAATCTATCACATATCTATGTAAAAAGCCAGCGACCAGAATGTCCTAATGACTGGTTGCTATGTTGCCCACTACGGCCACCGAACCAACCCGATTGGGGTGGCCAGTCCCACCTGATTGGCCTCTCTTACCCCGATTGAGGGCAGGGCGGCTGACCAACCCCCCAATGGACCCCCACCACCCTGATCAGCCTGAAGCCCTTCCCCCAGGCCGGCCCCACCCCTGATTGCCCCCCCCCCCCCCCCCCCCCCCCCCCCCGTAGGGACAGAGCCAACCTGTCAACTTCCTGTAGCAACCTCCCCTCTAGCTGGCCCTGCCCCTGATGGATCTCTACCACCCTGATTGGCTTGTGGCCCCTCCCCCAAGTTTAGCTCCACTTCCGATCAGCCCCCCTACTCTGGTCAGGGGCAGGGCCAGCCAGCCCATCACCCACAGCCCCTGCACACATCTGACCCCACCCCTAATCAGCCTCTACTACTGATCAGGGTGTGCTAGCCGGCCAACCTCCTGCTGTTACCTCCTCCCAATGGGCCGGCTGGACCCCACCCATGCATGAATTCATGCACTGGGCCTCTAGTTTTTAAATAAATGTAAAATGAGCAATTGAAACCAATTACTTATGTATTAGGTTATTTCCCTTTTGTTCTTAGTTAAATATAAATGCAAAAGAGTGACCAGCCAGATGTTAAAACCACACCAGAAAAAATATATATTATTTATTATATATATGTCCATATATATGAGTGTGTGTGTGTGTGTGTATATATATACATATATATATATATATAGATATAGATATAGATATATATAGATATAGATATAACCACTAGTATATATATCTTATATCAAGCTTAGCTATATAGAGATCAAGTACATTGTTGAAAGTATTTGTATGCTGCAGATACTTTCCCAGTAAGTGATTTTACACTTATAAGAAGGAGCTTCAATTAAATGTTTTCCTCTTTATTTAGTTATTGGAGATGAGCCATCACTTATAAATAATGACTCTATCCATAGAAGGAATCATATGTTTTCATGATCCAACTCATAGGTATCTCTATTTGCAAACACTCCTGTGACACCCAGAGAATTTAATTAAATGTTTATTCTTTTTCTTTCATTAAAAAATTAGTTCATTAATTGGAAAAAGCCAGAAATGTAAATGACAGGGTAGCATTATAAAAGCACTATTTAAGGAGGACCCATTGTGGGAGGGCAAAAATGACACAGTAAGGAAATGGCAGAATTATTATGGTGTCCCTTACGTGCTTAAAAATCTCCAGTGACTTCTGATTTTTAAAAAGTTTACAGAACCTCAAACGACCTGGCTGTTGTGTACACTTCTAGCTTCATCTCACTCTACTTCTTCCCTTGCCCTGGAAACTCATTTGCTATTTGTTGAATGAATATAATGAATTATACAACAGGCCAATGAGAAAGAAAATACCGTTGCTGTTAATAGATGCCAAAGATAACTGAAAGAATTACAAAGAAATAACCAGAATAGAGTGGAAAAAGTCTCAATTAGGTAGCTTAGCTGGTTTATGTAGGGTGCTAATGAGGTCAATAGAACAAAGTGAAATGATATACAAACAAGCAAAAAATAATCTATTTTGCCACAGAATATAACCATAATTTTGGGTGAATATCAGAAATGTGTACCCTAAGGTGATAAAGGGTGACTATCTATGCCACCCTTCATCACTATTAAAAAAACTCAAAGCTGTTTCTCACTGATGGAAGGTTGGGCATCAACTTAATGTATAATCCTTTATTCCTATATTTGGAAAACAAGACAGAAAACCAGAAGGCAATTGAAATGCACTTACGTATTAATTAGAGGCCAGATGCACAAAGATTTGTGCAAGAGTGGGCCTTCCTTCCCCTGGCCACTGGCACTGCCTTTACTCTGGCCGGAGCCGCCTTTCAGCTGCCCAGAGGCCCATGTAAATGGTAATGGTAGTAAGATACTACATATCTAATAGTTATGTTAAATGATGCTCGAACCAAAGGCCTGCTTTGCAATTATATAACTCCATCCCCCCTGCCCCCCAATCCCATGAAACTCTGGGCATTTTAACCAAATCTGCAAAATGTATACTTTACATGACATATAGAACACAGGACTAAATGAAGTAACAAATGCCCACATATTACAGCTTACATCTTACGTTGAAGCACATCTGCACATCTGGTTTAATTTGTTTGTGATAATCTAAAAGGTTGAAAAAATGAAAATGCTTTGGATTTCTTTTTATGAATTCAAAATGGGATTTAATATTTAAGTTACTCTCTCTCCACTTATCCCTTTTCTTTGAAAATATAATTTTAAGACTGTTTTTAATAACTCACCACTTTAATCATCTTGAAAGAAGTATTTTGACATCTTTAAAGTAACTTGAAAATTTCCCCTTGTTTGGCCTATTTTCATGAACACCGCCAAACTCTTTCATATACTCTTCTATAAGATATTCTTTCACTCTACTGTGTTTCCTATTACCAGGATAAGGGAATTGAACATCTGCTGGAAGTAATTACACTAAAAATTCATGAAGATTTCCATAGAAATAATGCAAAATGAGAATTGGGGTAAGAGGGTAGACTCTTTTTTTTCATTGGTAAAAGTATATACTAAACATTTTTGCATTCATTGTGCTGCAGCCTAAATATAATATAAAATGTAAATCTTGGTTTATCAAGTTTTTTTTTTTATTGTTTCCAGGTTTCTATAATTTAAAAACTTAGTCAAGACACAACATTAATACATTAAAAATATAATAATTGTGTTTTAATGTAAGGCATATACATATTAGCACTACTCCCTAAATGTTCCTTGCATTATCCTGATTTGTTTTTAATTACAGAAATGTGCAGATTGTTATGGTTGGTTTTTAACACACACAGTAGTGGTATGTGCATCATACCCCCAGAAGGCACTGCAAAATCAAAACTCGGCAATGTAATGGAATTAAAATGGGGGTGAACAGAAAGGAGTAATAAAAGCACAGAGACACCAGATATAAAGCCAATATTTAAAAAGTACAACATGCTATTTAGAAACTCTCGAGTTTTGTAATTTTGAGATCAGATTCTTCTTGCCAAACCTACACAAACTCTACAATAATCCTGAGAAGTATTATTGAGTTGCTGATGTCTTTTGTATTCATCAGGCATTATCTTAAAAATTCATATTGACTTTGATAAAGTCCTAATTATTTGATAACATATATTGAGTTACTACTTGATAACATATAATTTTTAAAAAGACTAAGATGGGAATATAATGGAGTCTCATATTTGCCTGGCTCTTTCTAGAAAGCACTTTCGTATAAAAATTTTATCTGAACTTTAACATAACTGACAGATACGTAGTATCTTACTACCATTTACCAACTACATGTTCTTGAGCCATTTTACCTGTTGTAAGATACAGCTTCCTAATTTTCAAAATGGAAACTAATAATAATATTTATCTTATTCTACCATTATGCATATTAAATGAGAAAAAAATTTAAGCCAAATGTCTTGCCCAGTGTCATGACTGAAAAAATGCTATCTATTTTACCAATACCATCTCTTCATCATCACCTTCTGTTAGTGGAAGAGTTGACAGTTCTACCATACCACTATGGGAGTGGATCTGCTCCATTGTAAGCATCACTGCGTGTCAATAAACTTGAATTCATGTGCTTACTCATCCTTTTCCTAATTCTGCTCATAAATTGGCTTGCAGAAAGATATTAGCAAATACCATTGCATTTGACTCACAGAATGATCTAATTCAGTGATTTTGTATTGTCCTTTTTGTTAAAGTGCTAAGGTTGTAAGGAAATATAGAAATCCAAGGAAAAGTAATTTATGAAATTATAACTATTACATTTTCTGGCTCATGTTTTGAAAATTATTTAGAGTTGTGTTATAAATAACTTCTGGGCATTAATCAAAAATTTTAATCGAAAATTATACCAGAGAATATTCAGCTCACAGTGATAAGCACAATTTCTAAAACGTGGAATCCTACAATGCTCCTTTAATCTCCTTTCTCTATATAAACTAAATAATTTACATAAACTTTTAAACACTGTAAACTGAACAGCTGCACACATGAGTTGCAGTCAGCAAGCCTCTCAGACATTTTCTAGATAAAAGGTAAAACGTTTCTTCTTCAAGTGCTATGAGGCAGTTACATTGAGAAATATTACAGTACTAAATGGGAGAAATTATGCTATTAAATGAAAGAAATTATATATTAGGGTCGTGCTGAGGAGTTATCAATATAATTAACAAAGCAGTCACATTTATTATGATCTACTGGCTTATTTATTTTAACTTTAAAAGCTTATGTATACAGGGAGTTCCACATCAAACATGTCATTAGAATTCCATTACTCTGTAATAAACACAACTCCTGTGTTCTCTTCAGCCAAGTATTTTGCACGTCCTAGTCTTGCCATCCCCTCATGGTACCTTGTGGGGCTCTCTGTGGATAAGGGCCATTGGGTGGCTTTCCTTTTTGCTTTGTTCCTTTTGGTTGTTGTTGTTCAAGTCTTGGTTACCTCACATTCCCTCTCTGAGGGAGCCTCACATTTCCAATCTGTCCTGCAAATTATCTACCAAACAGTCTGCCAGCCACACCGCTGTGAGTCCATTACGCCCTCAAACGATTCCCTGTAGCTCTCCAGATCATGCATGCATATTCATGTCTATTGTGCTTTAAGACATCCCGCCATCTGGCCCCACTTGACATACCTTGTCTCGTCCATTTCCCATGCCCTGGTTCATTGGCAACTAGACTAGGCTCAGGGGACCTCACTGCCTAGAAAAGGATGACTTGGAGCCTTTATCAACTCTTTAGGACTAAGTTAAAAATCAATTTTAGTTTTCAAAAATTCTTATTGAAAACATTTTTACTACCTCTCTTTCTCCATGCCTACATTTTGGATTTCTTTGTTATTATCAGAAATAAAAACAAAGTA